GGGGGAGCCACTGAACAAGCAGCATGCCGAGGCAGGAGCTGCACCCCGCCTTTCCCCTCCCCACCCCCCACGAGCCATGGCTCTGTCCTGCATCCCCTGGCCCCGGCTGGACAGAGCCTTCCCCTGTCCCAGCCCCACACCCTTCGCAGCACGGGGACCTTGATCAGCCCCCCCACACCCCTCCCCTTCCACCACAACAGACTTACCAGCTGCACACAGCTCTCCATGCTGCTGGCTGTGCTCTTCACTGCCTATGTGCTGCACTGTGGCTGCACCTGCACATGTGCATGGGCCATTTATTGGCCAAATTATTGGTCACTTCAGGCTGATTTCTGATATAGACAATTTTCTTTATATTAGTGCCAATCCGACATCGGACCGATGTATCAGTGCACCTCTACTAATTACCCATTTTAATATTGGTATCAGACCTGTTACAATGTAAGGGAGGTAAACTTAGATCATCACTCTTTCTGGTGACAATAGACTCAGCATAAAATGAGCACACTAACTTTTTTGAAAAGCTGGGTCCAATAGAAAAGAGATATTTCTCTGGAAACAAACACTAGCGAAGGTAGCAATAAACAAAAACATGGTCTTTAATTCTTTCACTGGAATAACATTTTGCAGTAGAAACATGAAGGCTAAACTATACAAGTAGTTACACGAGTACTATACTAAGAAAGACTATATATTTAACTGCTGTAAGTTAAATAGGAGGCAGAATTTTAAAGTAAAATTTAATATATTTCAGTTACTCATTTTAATTAAAAATAGATTAACAGAATTGTTGACTCTACATGTTATTTGCTTAAATAAGCAATAACAGAGAAGGTGTCAGAGATACGAGATACAGAAATATAGGCATTTTAAATGATCATTTAATAATCACTCAGCATGAGTTCAGTCTAGTTTTACCTAACATCTTTATTAGTGATCTGGAAGAAAGAGTAAACAACATATTGATTACTTTCCATGAATGCTACTAACCAGAAACTGTTGTAAAAAGAAAAAGGAGAAAAAACCAACCCCAAAACCTGGGGAATCAGATAGCTTAGCATTATGCACAAATAACACAGCTTTCCACAAAGGTAGGAGGGCAGAGGTATTGGCCTCCAATCATAAAGAACCAGAGGTGAATGCCAGCAAACTCTAGCATATATCTGAAGGGTCCCAAAGTGACCCTTCAGATTTGATATTAATCAGGTAATGTGGTCTGGATGGCATTATACCATAGGCAGGGCAAAAGAGGCACTGGAATGAAATATTCTGTGGACTGTTTTCTAGCTTTTAAAATCAGCACACCAAAATCACATACTATCTCAACATCATGTCCTTTGGGCAATGGGAATTTTGGATCTAGGAGAAAATGCTAACATACTGTTTACTCTTCCACAATTAAAAAAAAGAAAAATACCAGTTTTGCTTTAGCATCTTGAATAGGAAATATCTGATCCATCCTATGAAAGATATATTCAAACCTAGGCAGACAAGGTTCTTTGGGTAAATTCGATATTTTTTATCAAACCAACTCAAATGGTTGGAAAAATTCTTCCAACCATTTGAGTTGGTCTAATAAAAGACCAGCATGGCTACAACCTATACTCAAACCTAGACACGCAATGTGAAGATGTTTGTAAAACAGTAATAGCTGAAAACGCTGGTTGAGAAGCAGCAGCCATAACATAAATAACATTTTGAAGAGGAAAAAAAACTATTCCTGATAACGCAAAATGTACTGAAAGAAGCACTGGAGCATGAACTGAAGGGAATAATCCTCCACTGGAAAAGTTAACTATATACCCTAAAACAGGGCTGTCCAACTGGTACATCTGACTCCAAGGGGCTAAACTGTAACTCCTAAGATTCCCAGTCTGCTTCCCCTACTACTGCTGTTGTTACTCTGGGCTCCCCCTCCACCAAATCTGGCTTCCATACCCACCCAAACTCCACGGGCAGAGACAGGGACAATGAGGCTGAGGGAGCCCCCAGTTGGGCAGCTTGTGGAGAGGGTGGTGTAGCATAGTGGGGCAGTGCCAGCACAGTACAGTGGGGTACACCATACCCACCACATGATGCAGCACAGTGGAATGGTGGCTAGCACATGTTGTGGTGTGGCATTCAGAGCACAATTGTGCTGCCATGGTACAGTAAGTATCATGGCAGCACAGTGTAATGTGTGCGCGGTCTGTGTAGCATATGGCTGGGGGGCTTGTGGCCCTTGGCCACTCAGAAGTTTGTTAGTCCTGCCCTAAAAGTAAGATTCTCTTCTATTTGAATCAGTGTTTTGTCATTATTTTAAAGATAAAACAGAATTAATACTTAAGATAAAACAACTTCTAAACTTACAGAAGTGGAAATCTTCTTTGCTGTTTCTGAGATTACTTGCTCCAGTGGTTTCCAGAGCTGAAATGCATAGCGACCTGAAAAATATTGTCATAAAAAAACAACCATTACTTACTTAATTCCTAAATCTCACCTCAATTACTCATTTTTGCTAAATAAAATATCATAAGATAATAGGAATTTTGGTATAAAAAAAAATCTGCAGTTTTATTCTCTTAATTTCATTTTTTAAATTCTCATATTTTCTTAACCTCATGGCAACAGTTCGATGATGAGTTTATAGTGGTTCACACAATTCAATATTTACAGTAAGAGAAAGAACAATGCTGTGGGTTTTTTAATCTAAAATGAAACACATGAACTGTAAGACCTACAGTGCTTATTCACAAGCTCAATGTATTCAGACACATTTTGTAGGATGAACTGAGTTATTTACCTCATGAATTTTAGGAAAAACAGCAACATGCAATCTTAGCTTGGAAGTGCTATATTCACTAACTTACTCAGAGCATAATGCAGTTCTCCCTAAATATTACTCAAGAGCTTTTTTTCCTCCCCTTCTTTAACCTATTTATTACAGGGTTCTTACAGCTTCATTCCAGTATCACATTTGGTGAATAACTATGCATTTTTATTTGCTTGGGGAAAAAAGCAGTCTTACCATGAATAAAGACTCTATTTGTAGTCAAGTTAGGCTTGATAGTGCTTCCTCCACAAGCCAGTGAATTCTACTATGTGCCAAGAAGGTGGAGAAGGTTTACGAAGTTCAGGAACAGAACTTGTACCACATACTACATAGTAGGAATTTTCTCCAAGTTACTTTAATTATATACTAGCAATTTAAATCATAATTATGTCTGATATGTATTAGTTTAAAAAATAAAACAATCTCTTTGTCACATACTATTTTGCTTTTTCATTTTTAACAACTGCCATGCCCAAACAAGTAATTTTAGTTGTAACAGAATGTGTTTCGGTTTATAAAGAAGTCCTGCTAATATGGCATATACAACGGCTCTTAACTACTAACATTTTGTACTATTTTTTCAGTTTCGATTAACAGAGCATCAGGTTCCTGTCAGAGGATATTGTTATGGTTTTCTATGCTAGAGTAAAGAGCCTTTACTCTCCCAAATCTTACCCTTGTACACAGGGATGAAGTAATATTTTTTTCATTATTATTGTAAAACAGATGATACTTCTTTATTTTTTAATTTATAACAGGTTTTACAGTACAAATGGTTCTTGTAATATTTTTTCTGTATCCTCTCCTTTTTCAAAATCTACTTTGAATTGTGGACCCCAAAATTAGACACAATATTTCAGTAGCAGTCTCATCAAGGGCATGTAAATTCTTCCAACTCCCATTAGATTTGCCCTATTTATATACCCAAGGACATAGGCAGACAAGGTTCCTTGGGTGAATTTGACAACCTAAATCCCTATACCCAAGGACTGCATTCACATGTGTGGACGTTTAGTTCCCCAGGGACAAGTAGCAGCGGCTCACCTTGCACTTTAGCGTGCAGCAAGTTAACCTGGGTGGGGTAGGGGAGGCTGAGGCCAGGACTGGGTTAGCTCCAGCAGCCTTACCTGAGGTCCTGGGGGCCTCCTGGAGCAGCAGCAGTGGTGATTCTGCTGCACAGATATCCAGGGGTCAAAAAAAACCCACGGAAAAAAAGTGGAGCAGCACACGCACAGGCAGCGTTCCCTTGGAGTGCAGAGAACATCTGAATATGCAGTATGTGGCATGGCAGACTTGTTTGCGGTGCCACGTACCGTATGGCTGTGCCCATCTGGACGCGGCCAAGGATTGTGTTTACTCCTTTTGAACAGAGTTTTGCCATGGTAGATTATATTCGCTTTCTTGTTTATCTTACCAGCAAATGCAACAGCTGCAACACCCAGGCCAACTGCTATCATAGTTCCAGCCTACAACAGAAATACAAAGCATAAAATCAGACTGACTTTAAATATAGTCATATTCCATTCTATGAGCAACGGATTTAGTCTCAAGTGTGTAAGTTCTGTAAATGCTGTAAAGCAGAGGTGTCTAACCCTCCTCCCCTTGCCCCAGGACATATCCAGACTGTAGGGTTTCTTGTGGGCTGGATCTGGACCTGGTGGCAACAGCAAGTGGTGGAGGCAGCAGGGCTAATGGCTGTGGCGGCAGCTGAGGTGGCAGAGACACTGGGACAAGTAACAGGCCAACCAGTTGTGGAGTGAGCAGGTCTGTGTTGCATCAGCCCTTACTCAGCTTCCTGTTATCAATCACCATTCCTACGAATCTACCAAATTCACAAAAGTAGGGTGCACGGTGGCTCCTTTAATCTTGCACGTTCCCCTGCGCACGCCTCACCTCTTGCCCCCATCACTGCTGATTAGTGGAGGACCCTACTATTCAGGATCAGCAGGCAAGATAAGCCTATAACCACAGTTTTAAACTTGGCACCATTTCTGCCTCCCTGCCAGTCAGCAGCAAACCGCAGGGCCATCCAGGACCCCTCAGCCAATCAGTGGCAGGAGGCAAAAATTAAGCCATCTTTAAAACCACAGTTTCCGCCTCCCTGCTGATCAGGAGTGAGCTGCAAGTGGGGCCCCTCCACCAATCAGAAGGGGGGAGAGGGACATACAAGATTAAAGGAGCCACAATGCACCCCGCTTCCGCCATGAATTCAGTAGAAGGCCCAATTCTGGGCCCCAGATTCTGCTATTTTGACTCTTGAATTCCCTAGTCTGCCAGGAGCCACACAGACCACTGGAAACATCTCTATGTCGAATCTGGCCCATGGGCTATGTGTTTGATGCCCCTGCTTTAAAGATAGCTCCTAATGCATTCAATATTTTATGACTTGTTCATAAAAGCAAATCATAACCATTTCTCCATGTATTTTAAATTTGCAGCACTTAGCCTTTTTTAAAAGCCTTGGTAAATTTTACTACACAAAATTAGGAATTTGGAAGGCAGTGGGAAATTCTGCACCAGATGTGATAAATTAAATACCTTTAATTGTTCAGTACTATTAATAACCATGACAAAACCTCGTGATTAGTCTGAAGCTACCTACTGCCAGTTTAGCAAATCACATAGTTGTAACAAAACATTTTAAGCAGATAATATAACATGACACACAAAACAATTCAGCTAAGATGAACTGAAATAGTTCATACAGGAGAACTCTAATTTAGTTTAAAAGAACAGAGATGACAGCAACCACAGAATTAATAACTAGAAAATCTGGAGATTTGGACTGGGATTACAAGGGGATCAATGTTTGCATCAAATCACTATATGGGAATCTCATTGTGACAAACTTCCTGGGAATGAGCAAGGAGTATTAACTCAAGCACTGTTCCTAGGCTTACAATAACCAAGAGAGCTCCCGGCCATACTTGGTATTCCTTCTGTAAAGTCAGCAGCAACTGCAGCAGAGGTCACAGGGATGTTAGAGCCTTACAGCTTCTCCCCAGACAGACCCAACCAAGGCATCAATGCCAGTTTTTTCTTCCTACCAATCCTTTAGCCACATGAAGCAGCAGAAAAGAACTAGTAAAGTGCGTCACTGTGTCAAACCTTGAAACCCTATTCTCTATTGTCAACCATATAGGATTCTCCCCTGAGGAAGGGAAGGGTTGTTTTTTTTTCCCCTGAGGAAGGGAATTAATTCAGGGCTATACTGAATTAGTGGCCCATCTAATTCAGCATCCTGCCTTTAACAGTGTCTAGTAGCAAATATAGGCAACCCCTGTTTAACAGTTTTGTTTAGCACTATTTCGCTATAATATTCATTCTACATTCATACCTGATTCCATTTAGCGCTCAGCGAATTTCGTTATAATACTCACAGTCGTCATCTTAGTTCATCAAAAACTTTTAGTTCTGCTTAACACTATTTCCACTTAATGCTCAGTTTTTCAGGAACCAATGAAGAGGGCTAAGCGGGGGTTGACTGTATTTCAGTGGGATATTAATTAAAAAAAAAAACTTAAAGAAGCTAGTCCCTAGCCCCTGTCAAAAAGTGAGATATGCTTCTGCTCTGAAGCAAATTGGTTTACATGGTAGAGAGGTTGTGATCCTATGTTAAATTAAATTTTTTATGTTAGCTTTTACTTCTGAAGATTAATTGTTTAGAAAAGTGTTCTTTTTAATTAGTTTTACATTTTGTTGCCTTTCAGTTTTACAAAATTTCCTCTTGTTCCTGGACCGTGAAAAAGATTAAATATGAGAGCCCAACTTAACTTCACTGTATCCTTATTTTGTTTATATCTCCTACGCTCCTATGATTTTAAGCTAAATCTTTTTAACTTCTCTTTACATGAAAGTCTTGTCAAGTCTTTACCACCTGACATCTTTCTCTGAGTCTCTTCTATTGTGAAATAGGATGACAAGAACACTGAAGTGAGACTGTAAACCTGATTCATAATTCCAGCAGATTGTTTTCCTCCCTTTTCCATGGTTTGTGACCACTGCTCCATATTCATTAAAACTTTCACTGAACTGTCCAGAATGACAGCTAAATCTTGTTTGGCGTGCTCACAGTACTTAGGAGTGCAGCAATGTGTGAAGTGATTAACATTAATCCTCATAATGTTGATTATATTTTATTTATCAAAATTAAGTTTCACCTGCTATTGTGCTGACCACTTTTCCAGGTTTAATAGGTTCCTCTAAAATTTTTGGTTGTGATTATCAGGTGATAATGTTATGAGGTAATAACAACCTACCTAAACAATCTTATTCTTCCATTATCAGGTTTTTATGCATCTCTCCTGCTTGTTGGCCATTCGTTAATTTTTCTTATATACTGTTTTATTTACATATGAATTTTATGCAACCTTTTGTTCCATACACTACTCAGCTGTGCCCAGAGCCTGAGGAAGGGTTCTGCGATACCTAAACACTTGCCTATGTCTATCCCAACCATGCAGCTGGTCTAATAAAAGAGATCACCTACAACAATTCTTGCCCCTCAAGAATTTGTGCTACTCTTTAATACACTGAATTTTTCTGGCACCTGCAACGTTGCCATTTTATCCTTTACCACATCTAATTAATAAACAATACCAGTCTTAACATGAAATGTTACAAATATTTTTCCAGAAATTTTAGAAAGAAAGGTATAAAAATATCTGTGAAAGTCAATTTTGTAGTAAAGCAAATTGCAAGCATGTTGGAAGATGTAACACATGGCATATATTTAAAAGACAAAAGGGACACAGAGTTGTTAAATTATTTAGAATATAATTTATAGGGCTGTACAAAATTTTGGCGGCTGTTTCGTTTTGTATTCGGACGTTTCAACGGTTGAAACACTGAATCTGAAACAAAACGCAGGGCTCTGAAACAGCTCTGAAATGAAATGGGCCATCCGGAACACTTCAGAAAAATTCCAAAACATTTCGGAGCTGTTTCGGAGGAGGGCTTAGGGCAGGAGGGACTGCTCTGATATTGCCATCTGTAGCTGGTGGCCAGGGACAATGATCTGTCCCCGAGTTCCCTTCCAATCCCAGTGCTAGGGAACTGAACCAGGTTCAATTCCCCAGTTCCCCAATCTTTCCCCCAGCTCTCTGATAGCTTCCCCCATCTCTTCCGGGGGACGGGCCCCCGGATGATGCAGGATGACAGCAGGCTGCTGTTTCCAGGCAGCAGTTCTGGGATATTTCTCCAGCCAG